TCCATCATTTCTGTCGCTACAACCAGTGCTTTAATGCTATCATCTAGCGAAATATGTGCCATGATAATCAAAGGGTTGCTTCTATTATATTTTCCCAACGCAGAACAAGTGAGTGACTTGTTGCTTTTCGAAACACAAGATACAAGAAATATGCAATCTCAACAGAAACAATTACTAAAGTAGCTCTCTCGTTCGGGTAGTCATGAGCATTTCAGTGCAGGATTACGCTGCTCTCAAGCCCATATCCACTTTAGCTACTGAGCGAATGCTACACGTATCGTGCTCCACTGCTGATGAGTGAATTCCGCTCTTGCATGAAGGTCTAAACTAGAGGCGAATGGGATTTTGTATAAAGTAGTACCGGGCCGACATATCCATATTCGCATAATTCGCGATGTTCTGTTTCCGCTGCCTGGTATCAGCTTGCCTGTAATCGACAATGTATCACTGAGTTGCAATAAGCATAGGCATATATGAGATAGCGCCACTCGTCGGTGTTTCCTTTTATAGCGAGTACAGTTGCTCAACTAGATCTATTTTTCTAATTACTGAATAGACAGCCGCGGTTTGAAAAACTTGGAAACTTCTCTTATTTTTGCCCAGCACGAACTCATTACTAGAATCAGAAGAAAGACGGGCGTTCCCGGTTTTTTTGCGCTCATTCGAGAATCGGAGAGCTGAAAAAATTAGAGTCATCAGTTCAGAATCAAATTCGAAATCAAAATCAAAGATAGAGAATCAGTTCTAAAACGGCGCGCAAAAAAAGCCGGGAACGATTCTTATAAAGCGGTACAACTTAAACTGCACTGAAAAATACAATCCAATAATAGGTTGGTAAGAAAGTCTTGTCACTGTTGTCACTTTTTGTTTTTTATTTTCTAACTCAATATACAGTGGGAATTAGTCAACAATATACTCGTCATAGTTAGCCACTACAGCGCTCCACCTAATGGACAGGTAAGCATTCCCCTCCTCCCAGAACTGAGGAGGCTGTGAGTAGAGTAACTGATGTCATCATAGCTAAGAAAGCCTTAAAGGCAAAGCCCGCGACCACAGATTGTGGGTAACGGAACCCACATAGGAACGAAAAAGGGCTAGGTATCTGATTAGCGGAGAAAAGCAGCAGAAAAACAGCCGAAAATGCCCTAAATAGGATTCCATATCGACCCCAACTTGTACATGCATGCAATGAAGAAAACGCATGTTTGTACGAATTTCCACTCGTCGTTATCATAAAGATATCAGCTCTTTTATCGTATCACCTCACTCTCACCATTCGGAATGGAGAGAGATAGCATAGTGGCTACTAGCTAGTAGCTAGCAGCCGGTGGGGTCGGCATGGGCCTAAGGGGCGCCCATGGGCCTAATTGGTTAGCTTAAAGCGGAATTCTTGCCGATTTTCACTTTCTAAAGGTAGCGCAGCCTCCGCAATCTCCTTCCGGATCGTCTGACACATTTGAAAGGTCATAGCCTTATTTTATCGCGGAAAGTGCCTTTAAGAAGTAGGAGCAGGTAGCAGTCGTAGGGGACTACGTCAGGAGAATATGATGAGCGGGGACTGGTCTCCCAGCCTTGCTCCTCAATTATTTGGTAGGTCTCCATAGCAGGTATGGGGTCTCGCGTACTACGAAAGAGGTGCCCCGAAGCTAGTCTCGGTCACTTTTCTCCGACAATTTCCACCGGTTTCAGGAGCTGAGCGATACAAATGGTAGCGATGACCGTGTGTTCTCATATGGGCAGCTTGTTGTGCAGCATTCCCTTCGCGTCCCAGAAGCAGTAAAGAAGAACCTTCTCGGAATCATGCCCGGTTTGGACTGCTAGGATGGGTCTTCTCCTTGAGAGAGACACGGGTACTGTGTGAGTTGAAATCACAGAGGACCCATCTCTCATCTCAGTCTCCTAGAAACTCCTTCTGGTGAAGGCGGAGAAGGGGAGACTGACCAAGGAGTACCTGGGTGCACAGCGTGCCATCCGTCACTGTATGAGTGATCCATCGGGGCAGCATCTTTTGGTAATCAAGGGCTTACAGGCGGTAAGAGACTGTCAGTTAGGTAGATCCGAGTCTTGTCGCAAGACTGCAGGTGGTAGCCTCCCAATCCTCCTTGTCTGCTTCGAAAATGGTGGAGTCCTTCACTACATGGGGCCGTCCCAACCAAGGTTTGTTTTCGAGGATCTAGTCTTTTGTCGCGAAGCGAGTGAACCAAAAGTGAATGGTCCTGATGGTAGTTATCAATGTACACCGGCAATGCACTTTTGATGTTGCGGACAGCTGCCGTGTTTCGATGCGGGCGGGACGATAAGAAAGATGAAGAAGATGATGATCCGACGACGCTCCTGTGAAACTGATATCGTAATCACACCCGACGAGGAACAGGCGCAGTCGCTTACCTCTTGCAGGAAAGCCTCTAGAGAAAAACACTGACAGAACTTTCTTTCCAACCCAATATTTTCCCCTGAATATCCGAATAGTATATAATAACGGTGCGTCGACTTCGTTGGATGTTCTATGTTGAATAGGTTTTAGTATCAGCAGTTCTATTCAGAATTGATAATCCCTTCTTGGACAGAAGATGATGCTAACATTGTCCAAATAAAGAGACTCAAGCAGCCTTAAAGAGGCATGGTACGATCACTTATAAACATCTTATCGCGGACCACGCCTTTAAGACACATCACACATAGTTTGGGTGTGCGTGACTATCAGCCCCCAGCTGTCGAAGCGTAGCGGTTTCCCCGTCCTAACATGCGCAGGAATGGAGATACAGGACCGTGAAACACGCTAATTCCTCCATGCTCCGCCTACCGTTTATGCTAACAGCCGTTCTGCGCGGTGCGTGTCGCGGCGAGGGCCAGAACTCAAGAGCAACTGTGCTGCTTCTGCAATATCCCTCGAGGCCGCGCATTCCCACAAAACATGAAAACGGCCTAAGCGTCCCACTCGTTAGTTTAAAGTATTTTTATGGCTTTGGAGCCGGAATCGCGCCGAATTGCAGAAATTTACACGCGATTTTAATTAATTTGCATTTCCTTTTTTCATTTTTGTTTTATTTACATCTACATTTCTTGTTTTCTAGCCTTTGTCATCTTCATCACCTTCTATTCGGACTTTGAAGCATGAGCAACACCTCAAATGTTATTCGCATCAGGAAATTGCGTTTTGCTTGTATTAAACTAACGAGTGGAACGCTTAGGCCGTTTTTATTTTCATGTTCTGTGGGAATGCGCGGCCTCTGAGGGATGTTGCAGAAGCAGCACAGTTGCTCTTGAGTTCTGGCCCTCGTCATCATCTTCGGTTCTTATTTTGCAGCACCTAAAATGTTATCCGCATCAGGAAATTGCGTTTATTCCAAAGCGCAATTACAGGACTTGGCAAAAAGCCAAGAGAGCTGCGCGCGACACGCGCCGCGCGGAACGGCTGTTAGCATAAACGGTGGGCGGAGTATGGAAGAATTAGCGTGTTTCAGGTCCTGTATCTCCATATCAGCTTCTAGCTGGAAGGTTCACTCCATGTTGAGTAAGTATTATGGCATGTTAAGTTTGGGAAACCGCTACGCTTTGACAGCTGGGAGGCTGACACATCCAACACCTGCCCACAGTCACACACATCCAAACTATGTGTGATCGTACCATGTGTCTTCAACTGCTTCCTCGTAGATTAGGGTCAAGACGAGCGCCATTCTCCCACTCATTTCCATGTTCCAAATTCCTTCAATCGGAATGTTTCCGGAAACGCTGTGACCTTCAGGATATCCTTGCTCGTAATTCAGTCCAGAGTCCACCTTCCCCGAACACTATCACGTTGCTTAACACTCAACAGATCAACCATTTCCATACCATCAGGCTTCTCTCACAACGTTTGGATGTCAGACGTTCCAGGTGACATTCCCTAATTCCCTGATGTCTAACAAACTTTGTTTTATCGCCCTTACTGCTTTCAATGAATCGAGATGCTAGCGCGCCTCAGTCGCGCGCACATTCCCGTCCTTGGAGCTCACTGGTAGCTTCTAGCTGGAAAGTCCTCCAGGAAACTCTAGAGCCCTCAGCCATTGTACGGGAGTAGTTTGGTGGCCAGAAATAACCAACGATCCTGTGAACGTTTTCAAGAGCATTGAAGGCTATGGCGGACCGTTCCTTGAAGCACTGATAACGACTTAATTGTCTCTTGGAACTAAATTTTGTGATACTTATGAACGAACATTCTTAATGGTGCTTTATTGGCCAAGGAATGAACTTGGAAACGCCCTTACTGGTGATTGACTGCTGGGAAACTCCTTTCTCATGCGTTCTGCCTCGAAGTGAGTGGCCTGAAGAATCGCTTTCTGTTAGTGGCTTTTAGCAATGATTCAAAAAACCTTACCGTCCTGGACAAACTTTCAATTCTCAAAGCAAGGAATGTGCATTATAGTACTTACCGCTGCTGTAGTTATCTGTTACTATACGGGCAATGTGGTAGAAGTCAATGCGTCAATGTGCTAGCTAATGGGGAGACAACTGTTCAAAAGAAAAACTACAAAAGCAAATTAACGCGATCCAAGTACAAAGGAGCCATTTGGAGTAAACATTGAACACTTAAGCATTGGTTTTGAGCACGAAGCTAATTCGCCTTCTAATTATAGGATCCACAATCTTATTATCAGAACTGCCGTTCGTTCGTTGTTACCATAGCCGGTTTCGGAGTTGTACTCTTTCGTTATCCAGCATTGTTCATGATCCCACCTGTGGACTGCAGATGGGTGTTCTTCGTTATAACATCATGCTTTTCTATGGGTACGTTACTACTGAAGCGGCGAACTCAGTACAAAACCTGGCCATCTCAAATGAGGGTGATGTTTCTTTTATTCTTGTCATGGATGAATGGGCAAATGCATAAATTAGAGTGGAAATAGAAAAGAAGAGAAAAAAATTTGGAGGAAGGAATCTGAGTATTAGAAATGATGAGAATTACTTAGCAAATTAGCATATATATAAGTGCATTGACTAGCTGAAGCTCTTCAGGGATAATGTTTCTTGCCGCTGAGGCGTTAAACGCCTACGAATTGGTGAAACTAAAGCAACTGAACTCTTGGACCACAAATTTCTACGAGCGCGCGCGGAGGGACGCAGAGCTCACCGTAAGTCGAATACGTACCCCAAAAACATTTTAATATAGGGTCATAACCACCGCAGACACGGACTATTCTCATCGCGTTTTCTGTGTGTGGTGGACTTCTGATCGTTCTAGCTATGGAGTATTCTAAGGTAGGCGCGACATAGTTAGAGTGTTTTTGTTGAGAGATATTAATTGGTTGATTTGGTTTTATTTGATTTCTCTGAGTACATCACGTAAATCCTCCCATGTTTCAAGATCGACCCCACATGTGGCAGTGCTTTTGAGCATCTAGAATCAGTCTCTCATCCCACTCGAGTATGCACCTTCTAAAGCAACTCCTCGGAAGTGGGACACTACGCGCTTCCATGGGTCTTTTGCGATCCACTTGAGTGAAACGAAAAATAGGACTGGTGATAACTTCTCACCTTCTCTGGGGCATATTGACTCTGTACTAATTTAGTTGTGAAAAGCTTTCAGACTGCCTTCTATCAATTTTACGTGATTTTATGCAAGGAAATCTCTAAAGATTATCTTAGGCAGGAGGAGCAGAAAACTGTAAGCAAAAGCAGAAATTCAGGCAACATCGGAATGGAGTTGTATGGGGAGATTCTCTACGGATACGATAGACTTGTGGTCACCGATCCTCTTGTTTAACATATGTATTGCTAGTGCGGCAACTGCGCTCTCATATGAAGGCTTGTTTATACGGGAAAATCTGCCGCACTACGAAGAGAAAGTGAAAAATTACTTGAACGAAGTCTCTTTATACAGGAGAAACGAAGTTGAAAAGGTAAACGAGCAGGAAGCTGATGCAGTTTAGATACTACAAACAAATTGCAGTGTCAAAGAGATTTACTGTTCACTGCTATCGGACCATGGTTGCTACTTTGTTACTGGCAGACAACAGCAATTTCTAGTGATTGGATAACAGCTTCTTCTATCAACATGTAGGTTACTCAATTGTCAAGGAACGTAGATTATACTCGGATGCTCCTACTTTCCATAGGTGTAACTCCTTTTACTTCCAAAGAGATGAGCGTAAACGAGAAAAGATGTAGTACAGAACAGTGAAATATTTTGTGCGCTATTCATCAAAGTGGAAAAGGTACAACTGCAAATGCTTGAACCCTCTTTCACATTGGAAGCTTTTGTGGTCAACGTCATGAATGGGATCACGATTATGTCTGTCCTATGTCGTATAGTTTTCATTTTATAACAGTTGGAGAATTACTGCAAACCAATCGATTCTACTTTCTCACAGAATACTTACTGCATTTGGCATCATTATGACCCTTCGATGTTTGCACAACATCGCTCTGTATTTCCAGGATGGCTGGAGCGTTCGCCTTCTCTTGGGCTACGTGTAGTTTTTTGCAGACCGTCGTCACTACACCTAAAGTGGGTTTTTTTAAATAGAGACATAATGAAGATTTCTCATGATATTCACCTTCAGCAACCTAATAATTGCAGCAATACTCTACTTTGATGTGGTATGCAATGAAAATCCTACCTGCACGTTGTTCGCCGAAATTCGATCCTGTGACGATGTTCACTCGAGAAGAAATTTGCGAAGCATTTCGACAAAGAGAAAAAGCAGGAAACAGAAGTGATTTCGTCCATGCGCGAGTACTCCCAATTTTTTGCCCAGTTGATCCGGTAATTTTCAGACTCAATATTGCAAGACACTGCAGCTTATTCGTAAAAGACTTCGGGGGCTATGATGCTGCTGTGATTTAAATAGCTACCGAACAGGCTCACCAAAAAACTGGCAGTGATCACTAAACCATACAATTTCACTCGCTAGCTTTCCTGGTGATAGATATTTACTCAGATCCTGATCAAATCAAGCATCTGTGGCTAATTCAAATTACTACAGCGAAACCTACAAAGCTTGTTGAATCGTTATCATAGCAATGCTGAGATATTGGCAGAAGTCGGATCCGGGACAGACTCGAACACCATTTATCTCTCCCGCTTACTTAAGGGCTGCGTTATTACGCTAATGGGACCACTCTCGCCTTCTCAGCTCAATGGCATTTTGTGCCATAGCCTTGTATCACCCCACGTTCAGCATGATGAGCCGGATACCCGATATCGGCAGTAGATCGCGAGGCTGAAGGATTTCCATGTTCCAAAGCTGTTTTAGCTCGATAAATGCTGTTTAACGCCGCAGTGCGCGCTCCGAAAGTTATCACAAGAATGCTGAGTTGTGGGCAGAAAGTCGGACCACAGGTGGGATTCAAACCAGCAATTCCCGCTTTTCATGCGTGCGGATCGCGCACTGCAGCGTTAAACCGCATTTAACAAACCATAGCAACTTTAAAACGTGTGTTGGATCGGCTCAGTTGAACTTAGGAGTGATGAGGAGAATTTCATATTTAGTGAAAAGTACTAAGCGGTGAAAGCCAGACGGCACTTTTCTTAATCCGTGTCCTCAGCCTTGAAGTCACTGCTAATTCTTAACAAGAGAAATGCATCATGGAATACTGCTGTTGATATATAGGTTGGAAAGAAAGTCCTGTCACTGTTGTGATTTTTTTATTTTCTAACTCAACATGAAATAAAAACTAATCAATAATATAATCGCCATTGTTAGCCACTACAGTGCTCCACCTAATGGGCAACTCAGCTATCCCCTTCTCCCAGAACTGAGGAGGCTGCGAGTCGAAGAAGTAGGCAACTTCTCGATTGATGCCATCAAATTCGCTGAAGGTTTTCTTACCTAGGAAAGCCTTGAGGGAGCGGAACAAGTAGTAGTCGGAGGGGGCTAGGTCTGGAGAATATGGTGGATGGGGAACGGTCTCCCAGCCTAGCTCCTCAATTTGGCGGTGGGTCTCTTTAGCCACATGTGGTCTGGCGTTATCATGGAGGAGGTGCACCGAAGCTCGTCTCGGCCGCTTTTCTCGAAGAGCTTGCGCGAGTTTCTGGAGTTGGGCGGCGTAAACGGTAGCGGTAACCGTATGCCCTTGCGGAAGCAGCTCGTGGTGCAGCATGCCCTTCGAATCCCAGAAGCAGCAGAGGAGGACCTTCTTGGAGTGCAGGTTCGATCTGGGTTGCGTAGGCGGGTCTTCTCCTCGAGGGAGCCACATGGCACGACGTAGGTTGGAATCATAGAGGACCCAGCTTTCATCTCCAGTCACAATATCTTCCAGAAACTCCTTCCGGTTACGGTGTAGAAGGAGGGATCGACAGATGCTCACCCTGGCATACCGCGTGCCATCTGTTAGAGCATGAGGTATCCATCGCGTGAGGACTTTTCTGTAGCCAAGGGCCTGAAGGCGGCTTAGAGCTGTTGTATGGCTACACCCTAGCCTTGTCGCAATACTGCGCGTGGTAGCCTCTGGATCCTCTCTGACAGGTTCGAGAACGGCGGAATCTTCTACGCCGCGAGGGCGTCCCAGACGAGGTTTGTCTTCAAAGATCGTCTCTCCTTTCGCGAAGCGAGCGAACCAACGGTGGACAGTCCTGACGGTGGTGGTGTCCTCCCCCAATGCACAGTTGATGTTACGGGCCGCTGCCGTCGCTCCAGTGCCGCGGCGCCACTCATAGAAGATGATCACTCGAAGCTGCTCCAGTGAAACTGACATCATAAATACTAACATCATAAATAAACACAGGGAAGAGCAGGAGCCTTGATATACCTCTTGTGGAAAAGCTTCGAGAATGTTCTACAACCTTAGCATGTTACGTCATGTTCGAGCTTCGAAGATCAAAAACTGTAGGCTATCTAAAAAACACTGACAGGACTTTCTTTCCAACCTATAGATAATACTTAAAAGCGAAGACTCACCCTCAGAGACTCTTTCTCAAAGGGATTACCTCAAAGTGGCGCAAGAAGCTTTGTAAAATATTGAAGAAATATTAGGCGAGAAGACCCCCTAGAAGAAAAACCACTGAATGTTGGCTTGGGCGGCTTCCAGAAAGACAAAACAAAGACAAAATACGAGCGATGAGTGTGATAATAACATTAAGCAGGTATAGAACGAGCGGCTTGATAGCAACTGGTTGAAAAATGCTATCAAGCTTCCTCTCTGTACGAGATATGGGCAGCCTACACATTACCAGAATCTCAGTCTGGATCCTTCTAGCCGAGGCAACAGAAGAAAGGAGTGATCATCAACGATTTCAGGAGTACCACTTTCATTTGTGCAAATAACCATCATTAGTGAAGGCTATCATGCCAACCAAAGCAGGAGATCAGGATGTGATCTCTCGGCAGGTCTTTCTAGAATAATATGATGTTGTAATGTGATCTCAGACCCCGTAAGCCAGAAGATAGGCGAGAGCGTTTGGTCGGGGAAGAAAACCGCGCACTTCTTGAGTATTCAATTATTTGTACTACAAATACTAGCTTCTCAGGTTAGAAGGCAAGCTCAGCACTCCAATCAACACAGTAGGTATGCAGCTTATAGAAGAACCAGTTATTTCGAAATCAGTGACAGATGTTCGTCAAGAGTAGGGACCACACACTCAAAATACCCAAAAGTCCACAGCTCTATCTCACGTTTTCAATAATCGGAAGTCGCTCTTCAGCTCGGCCGACCTAGGATATAGATGAGTTCTCACTGTCAGTTTTCTAGAAAACACTGCAATGCATGAGGCTCAAGGAGGTTGCATCATGTCATTAGATCATATCTGAAAAGGCATTACTTTTGTAGTATCTCCACCTAACTAGTAGGCATTGCAAGGCCAAAAGTGGAGAAGTCTGTTGGTATAGACCCTGTCGAGCGTTCCTCGGCGAAAACAAACCAACCTGGAAAACGTCACCATACGATGAACTGAACCAAAAATCGAAGTACAGCTCGGTCGACCGGAGCTCGGAAAGAGTCCCATGCAGGGAGCTCGTATCTGGCGCCGTAGGGCAGGGGTGTGTTAGCACTGAAGAAGAATGAGCGAAAGATGTTGAAGTCATGGCCTTGAAAAAAGAGCGAGAACAGGTATTTCGAACCCGATTTCCCTAACTTTTAGAGACAGTCCGCTTCGAGCAAAACTCATAGTGCACAAAACTGGATTAGACATGACCTATAAGAGGGGTGGACTGAAGAACCAGGTGAGACAACGTTTGTCACCAATAGCGGTGTTGTCGGGCTCGCAGCTTTCGGTAAGATATGCGATCGTCGCTGGATTCCAATCCTCCTTTCGGGCACGCCTCATCCAGTCAAATGAAAATCTGAAGGATAAAGTCCTTGCTGTTGATCAACCCCTCTCAAGCGCACTCCACTTCCATTCAGACTCGCAGTGGCTCATAACGTGGCCTATACAATGATACGGGACACCCGATGTCTGAGTCAGTGTTATTATCTTTCCAGACGAATCTCGAGCTGATTTACTGTTTTCTGAGAGGGGGAAGCTTTGTAGGCTAATGCAGGAGCCGATTCGAAATCCGACATCAGGACCCGCGCATGGTAAGGTGTGGCACTTGCCGCTAGACCCACCTCCTCTTTTATGAACTACCAGTTGGGTTGCCCAGCTGTCGTCGTGCGCTCCTCCTTCCATGTCACGACCAGGCTTCTCCAATCTCCCTTCGCTCAATTGCTCTACGCCCTTACTGCACCTCGCACATGGTTTGATAGACGATTATCATTTTCTTAAGATCGTGACGACAGAAGGAGAGTGTCGGCATACTAAGCCTCCAATACTTGGCACTATTTACCCTTTACTGCCCCAGTCATCCGAAATCAGGCCAGTTCCTGACCGACTTTTTTCTCCGTGGGCAGAATTTGCTGAAAACTTGGCCTCCAGGGGTAGTTCGACCCGCTGAACACGAATATCGCATCCGCTTAACCCGAAACCTCCTGGCGCCCGCACCAAAATACCCTTAATCACTAAACTCGCTGAAAACTTGTCAACTAGGGTAACTACTTGACCACGTAAACACGAATGTCACATTCATCTTGCATTGTTTGCTGAACGCTGAGCGAGCGCGGGATTTTTGAAGAAGTATTGATTATACGACTCGTAAAGAATTGAGGTTTTTTCACGCAAAATGGAGTAATATTCGTGTTCAGGGGGTCAAACTATCCCAGGGAGCAAGTTTTCAGTGAATTTGATGATTTCGAGTCTTTTGGCGCCGACGCCCGTGGCGCGGGCGCCAGGAGGTTTCGTGCCGAACGGATGCGACGTTCGTGTTCAGCATGTTCGTGACATACGTGTTTAGCGGGTCGAACTACCCCCGGAGCCAAGTTTTCAGCAAATTCTGCCCACGGAGAAAAAAGTCGGTCAGGAACTGGCCTGATTTCGGATGACTGGGGCAGTAAAGGGCAACAGTGCCTAATACTTGATCAATTTCACTTAACCTTCATAATTTGCTGATGCTGAAGCTCCACCACGTTGAACAACGACGATGAACGCAACATCCCTTGTCAGCCCCTATCAGTTGTTATCGCTCTTTGTCACCCACTGTTGATCTCACCATCTCAACCTTTATGCCACTAGCTGGAACTGAGGCTTCGCTGATGCTGCGACCTAGTTGTGAATTTGACAACTCCCCTTTTCTATAGCCTCTTGTCGGATTTTATCAGCTGTGAAAACCTTCTGTCACCCACTAATAGTGTTTCCATCCTAACCCCTGTATCACACTTTCTGACTCTCTACAGCTATCTTGCTGCGTCCCTCGCTATGACTCTAAATTCTCTTCTACTCCACAGCCTCCAATCGTACTTATCAGCTCTTGATGGCAGACTTGAATTTTTGGAAAGACAGACAGGGATAGCCTATTATAAATATAAGGATACTTC